AAGTAATTAGGGTTGTATGCACACACACATACAAGCACACACTCTCTCACACACACACACAAGCACACACGCACACGGATATAAACTCCTGCCAAACGTTCATCAGTCTCCAGGTGAATTCCAGCTGAATGACAGAATAATTTAATCTTATAATGGAATAAATGTTCACAGACTCCTGATCGTAAAACACTCTCCAGCCTCGGCTCTTATGCACACACATCGCAAAAAGAGAATGTTTCTTGAAAAACAACAACATTTAACTGAAAATTAAATATTTATTTTAAAATGCAACTTATTTTCTTCTGGTTGCCAAGTTTTCATGAAGTTTAACCTAATGTTAAAAAATAAGTAAAACAAAAAAGTGTTCAAATATAGACACATTTAAAAAAAAAAAAAAACTAAATTACCAAAACGTTAGCTGAAATTAAAATAACAGAAAAGCAATTCAAAATCTTAACTATAATAGTATCTGAAATAACTGAGCGTGTGAATCTGCAGAAGCTTCACGGTTAAATAATGCTGCATCATTTACGAGTCAGAATTAAATATGGTAACGTCTTACTGCATTTTTTATAGAATTAATTGTAATGATTACTTTAAATTGAAACTCATTATATAAACACTGGAAAGTCTCAGTGTTTCCAAGGTTCATCATTTCTGCACCAACTCAACATTATAGATGTACAAATTAACATACACACACACTCTCTCTTTCTCTCACACGAACAGAAACAATCACACACACAACCAACACACCCAAGCTCACACACAAACTCTCTCACACAAACACACACAATAATGCTTTTACTGGATGTATATTGCACAGGCTCTTCTAACTCTATATTCCAGATCTGTTTCTGATGTTTTCCACTCAACGCTACTGGGGTAAACTAGTCTAAAAGTGTTCACTAATAAATCAATTACATACTCATGATATGAATGTCATGTCTGTCCGCATAATTCTAAGCATTTGTGTTTTTCCACAGCTAATTAAAGTCATGTATTATTTGGGTTATGTCTTGCTGTGATCATCATCATCTTCATCATCATCATCATCATCATCAGCGGTTATTATAAAGACTCACTCAGCCAACAAAAATATGTCATACGGACGTTCATCATGTGGGATTGCGGAACCGACCTCAGCCTGATCCGGGAACAGCCAACAGGATTCTTGTCATTACGCGCTGGTGAGAATCCAACAAGTCCACAGTTGAGCTTTCCCATCATCATCACAGCGGCCGGTCATGTGATCGATTGCTCCTGATTGTGTTGATTCTCTTCCAGCAGGAGGCCGGAAGTGTGTGTGTGACCAAATAAGGAAACTTCCCAGTCCACAATCCCGTGAATCACTTCATGCACTGCAACTTATGAGCCGAAATCAACTGTGATCATCTCAGAGGCTTCAGATATTAAATAAGCCTTTAGATTAGAGACACACTGAACATTTTTAATGAGACTAAATTAAACAAACTGCCCTTTAACCAATGTGATCGACAACCAATGGATCTTTGAGTGAGTGGAGGCGGGGCTCATTTGCATATTCATAGTACCGTGCATACTAAATGAGGCGAGGGTGTCGAGTTACATTCAAGATATTTTAAGGCATGAAGATGAAAAAACTTTTAAATATGTAATTTTTGTGATCAAAGATGCATTTTAACTGACCAAATTATTGACTAGAGGGACTTTAAGACATAGCCTATTTGACTTGTCTATGAATCGAATGAATAGCCGACACTGTGAACTATTTTTTTTAACTCTCTTTTGTTAATTTTACTATGAAACTAAATGAATCTTATGAGTCACGCTGGAGGAATAAACACTTCCCCCGAAGTCATGATATTGAGGAAAGGCCACATAAAACATGCATGAACACACATCTGGAGGAGCGTCGATAAGCAAACGCTTGTGCAACAGCGCATCTGTCACCATGGAAACCGCACAACATCAGCACAACAAGCGCGCTCTCCACTGATCTGATGGTTTCATGTGTTTTCTATCTTTATCTGAGTGACAGTGGCCGTTGTTCTTTCTGTTTGAATTATGATTATTAGTCTTACCCAACTGGCAGATAATTTTGCTTTTTAACGCAACAAATCACTTAATTTTATATTGCCAGAAAACAAACGTAATATCGTATGGCATCTAGGAGATGATCTTGATTTAAGAATTTTTTATATATATTTGGACTGGAACAAGACACAATCCTGAGTCCAGAGAAACACTGGGAGTGAGTCATGTGACACCACATCATCAGCAGCTGCTGCTTCTCAATCTCCCAGAATTCCTGCAGTCTGACGCCACAGTTTCCGGCTCTTCCTTTATTGGGCTCGACGGTGATCGGAAGAGCTTTGAGTGCTTTCTCATCAGCCGCTCCAACACAATGCAGTGCATTATTCACACAGCGCTGAGATTTACCATCTTTTCTACACACACACACACACACACTGGAAATCTGCCGCTCAGGTCATTCGTCAAGCTCACACACAAATAAATGTTTGTCCTCCTGTGGTGAAAATCAAGCTTGATCTCCAGGGTTTTTGATTTCTACTAATCAAATTTCCAGTGTATTACTAATAAATACTTTGATAATAGATGCAGAAATGACCATATATACCTTTGCTCTCTGATTTAACCTCATGTCTTCTAAAAGCAACCAGCAGTGGCGTAGCTTTGTTAACCGCATACTCTATGCTTGAGGCTAAGATTGTGTTTAACTAGCGTATTGTGTTTAAACTGTGAAGTGCAAGCACTGTCAGCAAACTAGTTTTCCTCACAGTTATGGGGTAGTGACTGCAATATTTGCAGTTCATCGAATTCATCTCCTTCCAGTACTACCTTAACCAGCTGAACTATCCTTACAGTACTAGTCTACCTTAACCAGGTGAAGTCTCGCTGAATTCTCACAGCCAGTCTTAAATATATATATGAATAACTGAATTAGAAACAATTATATAATTAAAAAGTTATTTAAGTACAATTGAAATGTTTATATACAGCTCAGTTTTTGTCAGAGTGTTGGTTATCTAAACATAAATAGCAATTAAATTTGGACATTACTAATAACTTTAATATTGTAGTAATGTCGTGACTGACAAGTGTTCCCTGTATAGTTTACAGCTTTAGTTCAGAGAACTGTTCTCCTTGAGAAACCTGACACCTGATGAACCGATATCAAGACAAATTGAATGAAAATGATTGGTGTCAATCTTCAAAGTGAAGTACCTGAGACCTGCGAAGTGTGTGTGTGTGTGTGTGTGTGTGTGTGTGTGTAACAGAACAGGATCTGATGTGTGTTCGGCTCTGGTCTCGGTCGTAGCCTATCTCACACCGGTGTTGTTTCTGTGTGGAGAACCTCAGATGTTCTCGAGAGAGTTCGTTTCATCCTAATCTCTGTGTGACTCACAGGAAACCCGCTGATAAACGCCAGACGAACCTCTGCACACACACACACACACGTTGGCCGGGATTGGGAAAAGGGAGAAGAGAGAGTTCGGCAAAAGGCGGATTCAAACTCAGGTCGAGCGCATCAAAAGCTGCTTTCTAGCACTTCCCGCCCTTCGGCCACTGTAGCTATTCCGTGACGAGAATCTATTTACTAGAAAGACAGGCACTTAGTCCAAATATACATGACGTTATCAAAAATGTAAAATAAATCTTTTTTGCTTCTGCTTGCTTGGGCGCATGGTGAACTTGCAATGTATACATTTTATCAGACCTGCCCTCGCGGCCTCGAAACCAGGCGCGTTGTTATACATGGGCATTCGGGGCTTCAGCCCGGGATGTTTTTTTTTTTATAGCCCCAGATCCAAATAAAAAAATTGATTATTATTATTTTAATAATTTAGTTTTTTTTTTAAATACCGGGTATTTTAATCTATCCTTCAGAATCATGTATTAAAGACAATTAAAATATTCAAGCAGATCAAAGTTACTATGGTTACACAGCACGCTTGAGTTTAGATTGCACACCAGAGGAGAGAGAGAGAGACTTTTTTTTTGACTTTTAAAGTTCTATTTATTTACAAAAGAATAAGAATTAAAAAAACATAAATTTTTCATTTCAACAAATTTTCCAGCGTTAGATCTGAATGATCTGAAGGTAGGATTTGAATTTTGCTTTAAAAACTGCCTGTGGGTCAAAGTGTGCTCTGTGTCTGTTCGTAGCTATAATCCCGTGTACAATTCTCCACTGCAGATCTCCAGATCGCTTCTCAAGGGGTGGTTTGTACACGGACCGCCAGCCACCTTTAGGGGAAGCGCCCTGCCCAAACACCTCCTGCTATTTCGACTCGGACACTCTCCAGGGATTTGAGGTGACATATTTTAACACACAGGTTGTAGACCTCTTTCTTTCCAGCATCTCGAAACAGAGATCTTCCCATGTCCCCGTCTCAGCAGAGATACTCGGCTCTGGAAACTCATATGTGTCCACCTCCTCTTCAAAGGTTTCCAGTGCAAGTCTGTAGTACAGGTTGGCCATATATGTATATCTGGGAAACATGAGAACAAGATAAAGAACTGACCAGCCACAAGACAAGAAAATAAAGCATCACTCACTTGGCACAAGACTCAACTTTCAGTCCCATAACTGCAACGCTGTAGGTCTGCGGTGCGTTTATGGTCACGTCAAACTTGGGCAAAACTAAACCAGAAACAAAGCGCTTTAGATTAAGGCCTCAGATCTGTCATTGAACTTCCCTTACACAACAACTTACCATATTTCTCTCACCTCAAAAACTTGGGAGAATAGTGTTGGGACTCTTCACTCCATGGCTACTCCATTCTGCAACGCCACCGTGGGATACAGTCCTGACTGTGGGCTGGGTGTCCGGGCGACCGACGGACGGACGGGGCGACCGACGGACGGTCGGGCGGACGGGGCGACCGATGGACGGACGGGGTGACCGACGGACGGATGGGGCGACTGACGGACGGGCGGACGGACGGGGCGACCGACGGACGGACGGGGCGACCGACGGACGGTCGGGCGGACGGGGCGACCGACGGACGGATGGGGCGACTGACGGACGGGCGGACCGACGGACGGACGGGGCGACCGACGGACGGGGCGACAGAGACACCTGGAAAATGGACTAACACGCTGTAGGACACACACCAACATTCCCAAATTGAAAATAGCCACAACATGCAGTACCTGGTTCTGGAAACACATATTGGTGTCAAACGGCACACTAGCAGCAACTACATTCTTACTGGGAAGAACGCTGTAGACCTGAATCTGCACTGCTGGAGCCATATCGATGCTGACAGACAACTGGAACGTCTCGGAGCTGCTTGTGACTGCATCACCAGCCTTTGCTTCAATCGTCTGAAATCCATGGAGGACAATCACTCCTTTGGATAAGACAGAAGACATAGTTGTGCAAGTTGCGGAACAAACGGACCAGCAAACTTAACTACAAAACTAATGTCCACTCACCATATAGATAATGTCAGCGCTGTAGCTACCAGCCTCTCCAACAAATGAATACTCCACGGTCACTGGAAACGAAGCACGACATTTGAGCTGCTGATTGAGCGTCACTATAGTCAAGTCAGTGGACTAAACAATGGGTTGTCGGGAGAAGCTGAACAAACCTTGTATCTGTAGTGAAGTATGGCGATTTATAACCATAAAAAAAACCTCTGGATTAGCACTCGCCTGGGGAAGATCAAACTTAATCAGTTTCATGCTAGAGAAAGTCTTAATTTTTACAAAATACAAGTCGTACCACCAGATTCAGATCCGCCTTAAGATTAGCAGTGTTTAGGGAGAATGCAGCCCGTCCATTCTTGTTTGTAGTTAGATTCAACAGCAGTTTGTTGGGCCAGTTGCTCCCCTCCAAGAGATATACAGCTTTGTTTGTAATGCACACCATTGCAGATTGACACCATTACATCTGCGAGAGAAAGTCCAAACAGTGAAGAATACCAACTTTGTGGCTTAAAGTGGATGTCTTGTAAAGATGATAAAGAGCATATAGTTCAGATCAGTCAATAGCTCACCTGTTCCCTCCTCAGTAACATTCACATTTACAAGAAATGTGTCTTGCGTTTGGTCTTCAAATTTGGTGTTGAAAAGCACTGACGTACCAACCGTAAGAGAGGCACACCCCATGGCATTCATCTGATAGGAGAACAAAGACACACAATTAAGTCAAGCACAGGCAAAAGGAAAACCCTCATTGGTAAGGCAGGAGTCACAGACCTTTGCGGTTTGAGTCAGGCACTGTCCGGTCAAATTATGAAACAGACTGTATGGAAATGGATCACGGCACACTTCCACTAAGGCTTGACCAGGTACAGGTTGGCCATATGTACATCTGGGAAACATCAGAACAAGATAAAGAACTGACCAACCACAAGACAAGAAAATAAAGCATCACTCACTTGGCACAAGACTCAACTTTTAGTCCCATAACTGCAACGCTGTAGGTCTGCAGTGCGTTTACGGTCACGTCAAACTTGGGCAAAACTAAACCAGAAACAAAGCGCTTAAGGTTAAAGCCTCAGATCTGTCATTGAACTGCCCTTACACAACAACTTACCGTATTTCTCTCACCTCAAAAACTTGGGAGACTAGTGTTGGGACTCTTCACTCCACGGCTACTCCATTCTGCGACGCCGCAGCCTAGTCACAGTCACCTAGGTCTTTGTGTCTCACTGCCTCATCGCTTCTCTGGCTACGTGGTGTGCTCCACCTCCATCACCTCCGGTAATCCCCTTGGTAGTGTTGGGACTCTTCACTCCATGGTTACTCCATTCTGCGCCGCCGGCGTGGGATGCAGTCCTGACTGTGGGCTGGGTCTCCGTCTGCTCTTCCCTGCTCAATGCCATCCCACCCACGGGGGGACGGGCGGACTGGGGGACGGACCGGGGGACGGGCGGAAGGACCGACCGGGGGGGACGGACGGGAGGGACGGACGGACGGGGGGGATGGACCGGGGTGACGGGTGGACCGACCAGTGGGGACGGGTGGACGGACGGACCGGGGGGACGGACGGACGGGGGGGGCGGACGGGACAGGGGGACGGGCGGACTGGGTGACGGACCAGGGGACGGGCGGACCGGGTGGACAGGCGGGCGGACAGACAGACCGGGGGGGGGGGGGGGGGGGGGGTAACGGGCGGAAGGACGGACCGGGGGGGACGGACGGGGGGACGGACCGGGGTGACGGGTGGACCGACCAGTGGGGACGGGCGGACGGACCGGGGCGGACGGACGGACGGAGGGGGGGGGCAGACGGGCCGACCGGGGGGACGGACGGGCCGACGTTTGTGTTGTAATGGTCTATACTAGCACCCCCAGGCGTCCATCCAAAAGGAATACGGCTTAGCTGGAGGACAATAAAAAGCCGAAGAACCGTGCAAAAGGTTGATGCAGATGCTGGTGACAGCCAGGGGGGACGGCCTTGAGCAGGGAAGGGCAGACGGAGACCCAGCCCACACTCAGGACTGCATCCCACGGCGGCGGCGCAGAATGGAGTAGCCATGGAGTGAAGAGTCCCAACACTACCAAGGGGATTACCGGAAGTGATGGAGGTGGAGCACACCACGTAGCCAGAGAAGCGATGAGGCAGTGAGACACAAAGACCGAAGCAACCGCGACTAGGCCACAGCGCCGACCCCCTGAAGTGGAAGCAGCGATCCTGAGGTTAGAGGCTGAGCTGCAGCAACCATAGATGGAGGTGGAACCTGAGGGAGGGCGGAGCTAGTCAAAGACGCAAGAGGTGGAGAGCCGTAGGGCAGCGAATGGGCCGCAAGTCCATGGCGAAGAAGATGTAATGTCCAACAGAGGGAGGCTGAATGGCTGATGGTTTTGCTGGAGTCAAGGGTGGTGAGAGAGCACAGCTATATTCTCACTGGGAAGAACGCTGTAGACCAGAATCTGCACTGCTGGAGCCATATCGACGCGGACACTTTGTTTGCAATTGGAGTCTTATCAAAACGAGTCACGGATATCTGTAAGGAATGATCAAGGTTAGGAAAGGGAAACAATTTGAAGGCTTCTGCGATAAGGGATGACATTTTGCTTACCTTTCCATTAAGCATTGATCCAGGTTCAAAATAAGGAACCAGGAGGTCTTGACTTTGTGGCTTAAAGTGGATGTCTTTGCAGTCATTGAAGTAGAAATTTCTGCATCTTAAAAGAACCTGCATTTAATTTATTTTTTATTTATGGTCAAAACACTCAAAATAGTGAAACATCTGGTCTTACCATTTGATCAAAAGGCACAAATTTGGAATCCATGCTGACAACTCTGAAATTAACTGCAAAGACACCAACAAACTCGCATTGCATAATGCATTTGAAGATGATACCTTCAACCAAGGGTCATTCACAGCTCACCCGTTTGTCATGGATTGTAAATAGGTTTGTCTGTTTGGATGAAGGTCAAAGGTAGGCAACGTCTGAACATGATTTTGCTCTCTTCAGGAGCCTGTAGAGAACTTCAGTTAACATACACGAAACCAAGACAAAAAGAGCCAGAGAAGCGGTCATCGTGAGGCTCTCTTGGGGTTTCAGAAGAGTTAAGTACAAGGTATAGACATGGCACGTAAAGCAATGAACTGGCACAGGACAGCAAACACAAGGGGATCAAATAGGGAGAAACAGACATTGACAGCAGGTGACATAGATGAAGCAATTATGACAAAACGAGGGTAACAAGGGGGTGGGGCAAGAGAACGAGACACAGCCCAAACACAAGGCCATGTGCCTGCACACAAAACAAGGATCTGTCATGATCCTGCCTCAAGAGTATGACAAGAGGACAGAATCATGACATACATTAGTTAAATTAATACAGTATGTGCAAATTCACACACCTATAAAAATCACCTCAATTGAGAATTGAGTTTAAAACAGTTATCGCTAATGGAACAAATGATCTCTTATAAATATTCCTCTTGGCAAGCGGTGCGTAGCCTGCGCCACGAAGGAAGGATCTCAAAGCAGGGATGGAGGGGATGAGTCTGGTCTGAATACTGATAATGCCCTTTCTTGTCCTCGAATGTGTTTGAATATTTCACCATCAGCCTTTTCACTGTTTGTATCACTCCGCTTGTCTGTGTTTGCCCAACTTGCATTATTAGGGACTTTAAGCAACAGCCTCTGGTGGAACGGCAACGGCATTCTATTGCGCATGCGCGACATTAGGGACAGCCGCTGATAGAACGGTGACGGCAGCCGGAAGTAAACGGCTAACTGCCGTAGCTAAAGAGCGCAAAAATCACCAAGCATCAGTAAAGAGGACGGCATAGGGGATAATTTAATCATCAGACAAAATACAAAAAGAAAGTGTTTTTAAAAAGTAAGAGAAGGGTTGATATTAGCACTTAATGATATACAGAAACGATTTCAATGCCACATAACCTAAAACATAACATTAACTTTCTTAATCTGTCACGTAACGACTACTAGATATACTACGTAGATCCTCCTTTCAATGTCAAAGTCTATTAACTTCCTAAGTAGTAGACTTAAACGATGTCTAGTTTCCTTGTATATAATCCACATTGTCTTGGAAGGAAAGTTTATCATCAATGATTGTACCTCGGTATTTAAACTTTCAGACTTGCTCTATCTTCACGCCTTTCTCTGAGACGAGATGCGTTTATTAACGTGATTAGCGTAATCGCTCGACTGCAAACATCCGCTCAAATCAGTTTAAATGAGACGAATAATAATAATAAAAACACTAACGCAAGAGTATCGCATTTTATTTACTCAATCATGTCTACTGTAATTGCGTTTTCAACCGTACAAACATGCAAAAGGAGAAGCTAATGAGAAAATAAAAGGAGATATTACATTACTATATTTTCATCATTAATCATGAATTGCACAATCTCATGCAAAACACAGTTATAAAAATGAGGCGCTCAAGTAAAAAAGATATGAATAAAAAAAAATCTTAAAACCATGTTTTGTGTGAACGTCCCCTTAAAAAGCAGCATGTGTCATCCAGCAGCATTTGGGAACAGATTTCATGGTTAGATTACATACAGCACTTAATCTCCTTATTAAAATATAATCATTTACAAGCTAGATCAATGAAGACATCTCCATCGGTCCATCCGCCTGACGCTGAGATCTCGATGTCCTCTGTGAAGTGTTCCCGCTGGGGACTCTGGGTAATCCCGAGTCTGGAGAGGCGTCTCCACTGCAAACTCCAAACATGTGTGTGTGTGTGCGTGTGTGTGTGTGCGTGTGTGTGTGTGCGTGCGAGAGCTATAGAGGAGCTCCACTGATCTCCTGCTGCCGAGTGTAAGATCACAGCTAAAGTGCTTCTGATTGGGTTTCAGTGTTTCCTGAGAGAGAGAGAGAGTGTGTGTGTGTGTGTGTGTGTGTGTGTGTGTGTGTGCGATGTGGATCAGGATCTTCAGAGCCAGGCGTCCGGTCCATGTTTCTCCTTCACCAGCGTGATCTGATCGATCACTTTACCGTACTGCAGACAGAGATAGAGAGTGTTAGAGTGTGTGTGTGTGTGTGTGTGTGTACTGCAGACAGAGACACACTTTAGATCTCACACATATGCACAATCAAAATGGATAATTATTGCAGTGTTTATTGTAAAATGATTTATGAGTGCACATCATTATTGTGTTCATAACTCTGAATCAGAATAACTTCTCTTCTCTGATGATGTGGGCGGGGCTATAACCTGTCACTCACATGAGCTCAGCCAATAGCAAACCACAGCCATCCAATCAATTCCCCACAGACACGATCAAGCCCCGCCCACATATGTTCTTGTTCCTGAAGCGTTTGTCTCGATATACGACACACTAGAGGAGAGAAGATCAGCGAGGCTTCAAGCGAGTGAAGTGTGTGTTACCTGGTCGTCGGACACCTGCTCCAGGTACAGGTGTGTGTGGTTGATCAGACGCATGCGTGTGTATCCGTAATCAGTGCTTCTGAACGCGCTCCAGTCTCGAGGCTTCGGGATGAAGCCGTCGTGCTTTTCTCGACATCCCTGACCAGACACAGTCAGTGTGTGACAATATCCCACAATGCAATGCACTCAACACCACCTTCCCTTTGCAGTGTCATTTAAGCATGACAATTTGGCTTTTGATAACTAGACTAGTAGAAAGCAAGTGTTTATTTATGAAAATAAGGGTTTAATTTAATAAGTTCATACAGGGTTTGTACAGATACTGAGATTATAATGCTTTTCAAGGACTTCAATCAGAGATCTCACTCATCAAACAATATCTTTATTATCTTTTTGTACTCACGGCTGATCCGGTGATGATGTGCACGGGCGCTTTAGGATTCACATACGGCTCTTCAGAGCTCCCGTTAAACACCTGCGGGACACACACACACACGCCACATCTCAACTTTCAGAATCATCTTAACACACTAATGTCCTCATAATCTCCAGTGTCTCTCTAAGCCCCGCCTCTCTGAGAGCTGCTCTGCTCTGATTGGTCAGATCTGAATCTCAGCTGTTGATCACAGTGATACGAACAGTAGTTTCACCGTCTCAATCTCATCAAAGTGGAGAACAGCGTCTTCTGGACACCAACAACACGAGCCCGACTCTCCCAGTCTCAGATACACTAGTGTTTGAGGGCGGAGCTAAGAGATGCTGCTCAGCCAATCAGGACCAGAGGCACGAATTATGCTAATGAGTTACAAACCTACAGCAGGAAGTGACGACTCGCTTCAGTTCAGAATCACTTCTTTCTTTTAGGAGACAAAATCTCCATTTAATCTTTAATCTTTAAAACTTTGCAGAGCTTTATATTCACAAATTTACAAATATCCCATAAATCATATCCCAAAAAGCATTAATAAAGGCAGTTTAACGGATCAGTTTAGTGATGTCAGCACATGATTACCTTGAATCCGTACACAGGCCAGAGTCGCTCATACGTGTGTTCGTGAGCCCACAGCTCCAGATCCACTCCTGCACACACACACACACACACACACACACACTGTAATCATCATTAAGGACTCATTCTACACATGCGCAGACATCAAACTACAGGTGAATATGAGTGAAAACTACATCTAATAGATAGCATTATACTTCCCCAGTTCTCTGAAATGCTGTTTAAATATGCAAATCAGGCATTATCTAATTAAATATGCACTCATTTACATACATTTTCAGAAATATGAACATTAGTTAAAGAACAAATGCATGTTTTTAGGAGTATGTTATGATATGTGAACAAACCCTTCAGAATACAGAAGTGTTTCTGACTCAAAATCTGCAAACGCTAATTTACAAAACTTAAACACAAATAAACGCCGCTAGTCTAAAAGAAGATGAATAGAAGTAAAATAGACCAAGATCTGAAACCCGCGTACCGTACTGATAGAATAAATCCTCCAGTCCCGGAGACACAGGCTTCGTGTCGTTGCGTCCGAGGCGGACCTGAAACAGACGAGAGATCGGTCATGAACACACACATTTACACGATCATGATCATCTGAATCCTCAAGCATCATCATTACACTGAAAACAGGAATTACTCTAAAACTACTTCAATTTCATTAATAATTACAAGTAACACACTGAGCCAACGTTCTTTCACACGCAACCTTCTGCAGTGTTAAAGTGCCTCTATTAATGCTTTATGGGATATTAATGGTTCATGTAGTGTGTATTAAAGCTGTTTGTGAATATAAAAACTCAATAAATGGAGATTTTGTCTCCTGAAAGAAAGAAGTGATTCTAAACTGAAGCGAGTCTTCACTTCCTGCTGTAGGTTTGTAACTCATTAGCATAATGCTGCCTCTGGTCCTGATTGGCTGAGCAGCGTCTCTTAGCCCCGCCCTCAAACACTAGTGTGTCTGAGACTGTGGGAGTCGGGCTCGTGTTGTTGGGGTCGAGAAGACGCTGTTCTCCACTTTGAGATTCAGATATGATAATGAGCGCTCTGACCAATCAGAGCAGAGCAGCTCTCAGAGAGGCGGGGCTTAGAGAGACACTGAGCTGCAGATTATGAGGACATTAGTGTGTTAAACAGCAGAATCGGGGCACTTTAACAGATTGGAGAGGCGTGTGTGAGGTTAAACACGTGGACCGACCGCCGCAGGAACTTATATATATGTCAGACACATACGTGACTCTGAAAGCGTGTGCAGTCGTCACCATCATCATCAGAACAATACATGGGTCTGTGTCCCATCGTGATGATCCACGGCCTCTGCGCTCGATTCTCAGGACGGGATGCCTCCTGAATCACACACACACACACACACTTATAACACATCCTCCACAACACAATCGCTCTCAGCAGCATCTGCAGTGTGTGTGTGTGTGTGTACCTCCAGATCCTTCCGTAGCCACTCGTACTGTCTGAACAGCAGATCAAGGCCGTACTCCAGATAGAAATAGACTTCAGTGGAGAAGGAGATGATGTGGGCGGGACCGACGTTCCAGCTACACACACACACACACACACACACTCATTATTCAGCTGCGTTTAAGGCAGAACTTCAGGAGTTTTCTCTGATGATAACTCGTACCTGTACCACAGATTCTCCGTGTGTCCCGGCATACTGAAGCGATTCCGGTAGTGGGAGAAATTACTGGAAGAAGAAGAAACACACACTCAAAACCACAGCGACTCTCCAGCTTCATCCGCCTCGTAAACATGAGATACGGGTGTGTGTTTAAACACTGACAAATTCAGGGTCAGTGAATGGAGAGGGTGGGGGTCAAAGGTTAAGAGGTCAGGGGTTGTAAGGTCAAGGCTAGGAAAACAACAGGCCTCTGCAGACGTTAGGAAAAATTACAGCGTACAAAACACATCCATCACGTTTAACATCAGTGTTTCACGTTTGGTACATTTTGTTTTATTGATGGGTAAATATCATATCCATACTTGAAAATGGAAAAAACGTAAGCCCTCCTTTAATATATGTCTAAGTGAGTTTGTGCTAAAATGTAAACGTAATAAAAAGTCTGAAACTACGTTTCTCTTTGTCAAAATATGTAGTATTTGAGTATGTTTGTCTTTGATGTCTATATCGGCTAGCCGTTGTCTTCATCCTTGCTCCTCTTTTTATTGACTTCTTTCCTCTTAAATTCAAACTGTGTGTCAGTCAGTCTCAATGGAAGACTTGTTCCCTGTCTTGTGTACATCCTGCAATTAAAGCAGATCGCGGTGTGTGCTTCCCTCCAGTGGCCAGTGCTCAAACTGCACACACGACTTCACTAAAACGCATGCGTCTGGGGAATCCTTCACACTGCCGGGCAAACGATTGGAATAATGAAGATTTTTATCACCGTTAGGACACGCTCGCTCTGGAAATCTGGCTAATTTCTGTCCTGGTTAAAGTCCCATAATGCCTGTCCTTGAGGATAAGAACAGGTCAAACACTCACAATGCCGACTCGTGGTTCCCCGGACAGGTCATGTACGGTGTGTAAGCAGCGATGGACTGGATCTGCTTCATGAACTCATCACCGATCCTACCGTTGTCCTGAGAGAACACACACACACACACACACACATTACACACATTACAGGCCTTATTCAGAGCAGTGCCACGACAGGTATGAAAGCGAGACATACTGTGTTTGTAAAAAACTGAAAAAATTATGATTAATTAAATATCATTTATATTTAAAACTTTTTTCATATTTTTATAATTTCAATTTACAGCTCGTGTTGTCTGGAGTTTTTTGCCTCCTGAAATTTCTCAGAAATATTTTTGCAGTGTTTCATCAGCAGAATAATCCAAACACACAAGAAATAAGAGAAATAACACTGATGTACGTCTGTCCCTGCAGAGATGGAGCTGCTGCCAATATTATATTAGTCTTTTGACACTTTTTAACTGATAAAATTGACACTTTTCAACCAATAAAATAGACACTTTTTTTACAGATAAAATTTACACTTTTTAACCGATAAATTGACACTTTTAACTGGTAAAATTGACACTTTAACCGATAAATTGTACACTTTTTTTACAGATAAATTGGACACTTTTTTACGAATAAAATGTAAACCTTTTTAACCAATAAAATGTTAACTTTTTAACCGATAAAATTGACACTTTTTAAATCGACAAAATTGACACTTTTTAACCAATAAAATGTACACTTTTTTACAGATAAAATTGACACTTTTAACTGGTAAAATTGACACTTTAACTGATAAATTGTACACTTTTTTTACAGATAAATTGGACACTTTTTTTACGAATAAAATGCAAACTTTCTAACCGATAAAATTGACACTTTTTAAATCGACAAAATTGACACTTTTTAACCAATAAAATGTACACTTTTTTTACAGATAAAATTTACAATTTTAACCGATAAATTGTACAATTTTTTTTACAGATAAAATGTACACTTTTTAACTGATAAAATGTACACTTAACCAATACAATTTACACATTTTAATTGATAATATTTACACTTTTAACTGGTAAATATTTAATACAATTTTCCAATTTTCCTTGATAAAAAAGACGCCTATTTTAATGACACGAATGCGAGTAAAAGAGGACATGATGATCATGTTTGGCTGAACTTGCCTTTAATTCAGTGTCAAATAGAGAAAGTAAATGATTATGGAAACGAAGACCTTTTGGTAAAACATTTTATATATATATATATATATATATATATATATATATTAGGGCTGTCAAACGATTAATCGCGATTAATCGCGTCCAAAATAAAAGTTTGTATTTACACAATATATGTGGGTGCACTAGTCTGTATAATTATTTTATATATATAAATACACACACATGCTTGTATATATTTAAGAAATATTTTCATGTATATACTGTATATAGATTTATACATAATTTATATTATATATAAATATAAATATTTTATATATAAATAATATTTTTTTCTTAAATTTACATGCATGTGTGTGTATTTATATATACAAAATAATTATACAAAGTGCACCAACATATATTATGTAAACACAAAATTTTATTTTGGATACGATTAATCGCGATTAATCGTTTGACAGCCCTAATATATATATATACACATATATATATATATATATATATATATATATATATATATATATATATAAAACGGCTTTACAATGTACATACGAAAAGAATTCAGACTTTATGTGATTAGCTTGTTTATGATCATCGTGACACTTGTGGACATGCATGTGGACAGACGTCAGGTTAACAGCCCTTGATGAGTGTGTGTGTATGTGTGTTTTTACCTCATCCATGTCATACGCAAAGTCCCCTGAGAAAACAATCACATGCTGTTAAACACTTTCACCACATGCCATTAACTCTGAGAGAAAGCTGGGGTGGCTCTAGGACAGCGAGCCGCTGATCTCACCGATGTGCAGGATGGCGTCGTACACACCCATCTGTGTCTCCTTCTGCAGCCGGCTCAGGGACTGGGGGTTCTCGTTACCCATGTCTCCGAACACGGCGAATCTGGGGCTGAAACTCACGCTTTCATTCAGAGCGGTGAAGGAGAACACATCACTCCAGCCAGAGTCACTGCCACAGTGATACACTGAAACACACACACACACACACACACACACAGGTGAAGGAGAACACATCACTCCAGCAAGAGTCACTGCCACAGTGATACACTGAAACACACACACAAGACATCACTTACATTCAAATTAATAAAAACTTTGATTGAAATAAGAAAATAAATGAAAATAAATTAAAAAAAATGTAAGAAATTAAATTGAGTGGACTTGTTAATATTAGGATGGAAAAGTTTAAAGAAAAACTGCAAAATATTTTTTTAAATAATAATATTAATATAATATAAAAAAAATGTATAAATAAAAATATAATTAAAATAAACGAAATAAATAAATAATGCATCTAACAATACAGCGCTATAATGAGTATAGTTATTAGTTAATAAGATTGAGGCACAGGTGTAATACGGATGGCGAGTGTGTGTGTGTGTTTACCGTAGGCGGTACCGGGCCTCAGGTCAACCAGCGCCACCCGGTGGACAAACACACGTCTGCGCTCGGGCCCCTCGTTCACGAACACGCGGGAGTTTCCCTTCGCCGAGCGGCTGAAGAGCGGCCCCCCCCACACCCCGAACTCCACCACACTCTCCGTCTCATTGGCTGTGGACCATGTGACCAGCATAGAGCCCGACACACCTGAGAACACACACATCATCATCATCATCCTCATCGGGTCACATGACACTCACACCTGCATTACTATAATGAGGAGGAACGATCCTCTTTGACTGACAGCTGTCAAAAATAAAGTGCAAATAAATACACTTTAAAAAAATAAACTGATTTTTTTTTTGGTACTTTCCTGTTTCCTGTTATATGGCCTACCCCTAACCCCGCCCCTAAACCTACCCGTCACTAGGGTTAAGACCAATCAGGGATGACTATAGTTCCTAAATGGTATATGGTGGGGTCCGGATAACAGGAAAGTACTTTTTTTTTTTTTTTACTTCAAGAATATTTTTAGGAAATACGTACAATTTAGTGTGTTTAAATTTGCATTGTGAAAATAGGCAAAAGCATGTATTTTTAATATATTTGAAGATAGTATAATTTTTTGGAATTGAAAAAGGGAATATATTTAACAGACAATAGCGAATAGTTTAGTTTGACTGGATCTCTCACCTGGATAGGAGATGTGCACCTGCTCCGGCTGGGTTCCTATGGGCGGCACGGCGGAGGCGGAGCCACACAAACACAGAAGAAGAAGAAGTGACGTCATCAGGACCTGAGGGTCACATGATCACTCAGACATCAGGGTTCACTTTACAAAATCACTGCAAATACACCGATCACATGTGCAACGGGAGAACCAGAGATGAGATGACACAAATAATGTTAGGACAAAACAGTCTTAATGTTTATGGAAGGATAACATTAATAACATCTGATATACATTCCAGTAATGTTGAAAAGAAACATTTTTCTTAGCTACATCACAACTTCCTTAATGTCTGAATAACTTAAATGCTCTGAGTTGTTTAATGACTGTCTTAATCCACCAGTGACAAAACTGAGTTCATTTATCAAAGATTTAACAAACTGTATATTACAGATAACCTTCAATACACTTATAAACAACCAATAAACACGATGTGAATTTAAATGAACAAACGCTAAAATAACCCAAATACACAACCACTAGACACCCTGAATAAACCCTAAATTATTAAACACTCTCGGCTACATACATAAGCAGTTTTTACAGACAAAAACATTTAAAGTTAAACAAACACGCAAGTGATCTCACGAACCTGCTGGTTTAATGTTGATTAGTGTGTGTGTGTGTGTGTGTGTGTGTGTGTGTGTTTCCTCAAACTGCCTCAGCTCAGCTGCTGGTCACATGATCAGTGTTTACTCCGTCAGATCGAGGTGCGTTCGATTCGACAGGGTCCCTACGCAGTGTTCACTGCTCCCTACTCCCTGAACACGGTATATCAGTTGAAGTGGACTTCACTAACTTCCTGTGAAGTGATCTATCGATGTTCCCTTATTCCCGTGTGTAGTGCCGTTCGAACTGAACATGTTCGTTCCCTTCGAATTGGAATCTCACTTAAGATGGCGAAATACCTTGTGAAGTCCACTTCGCAGTCCACTTACGGTCGAATGGAACGCAATACATGTGACACCGCTTTCCCACATGCGTGCGGCGACGTGCGCGCTCACGTCATTGTTTGTTTCGGTTTTGCCCGGCAGACGCTCAATAATGTCGCGTCGGTTTTATAAAACCACTCGAGGAATAACCAATAAACAACTCTGAGAACAACAAAACAAGCTTTAAAAAATGTTTCTAATTCTCAAAACGTGTCGATACTTACAGTTTTTATTACCTTCTCTTCTCTATTTCTTTCAGCTCAAACTAAAGCAGCGTTTGTAGCGTGTGTGTTGTCTCGTGCTCTGTGATGATTGACAGCTGTCAGTCAGTGAGATCAGCGCGTGACAGCGACTCCTGGCGGCGGATCTCAGCATTACAGCGAGCGAGTGTGGAGGATCAAAATTGCATTCACTAAAGAAATGTTTTTTTTTTTATCAATTCGATTATTTTTCCATTATTATAGGCTAAAAAAAATATTCATTTCTGATATTTCTTGGTTTTCCAATTCCATCCACACACACACACACACACATATATATATAAATGCATATATATTACTGTTATATACTGTATAGTACCACTGTTAATCTTTAGAGTACTCAAAACTGTGTGCACAAACACACTCTTATTTATAAACAAGAAACACTTTTATTTATTTATTTAAAGTTTTATTCATTTTTCTTTAAACATGTATAATACCTTATAATTTTATAAAGTACTTTACAGATCTCATTTATTAATAGAACTAACAAGAACTGCAACATTTTTACACAATAAATTACCTTTAATGTAAGTTCTCAGACTTTTGATCCTAAAAATGTATTGGTAAATGTTCAGATTAACAAAGATGTAGAAATATTGTTCACTGTTAGTTCATGTTAATATTAACTGATGGACAAGAACAAACGATGAACCGTTAATAATAAATGACGAATAAACACTGTAACAGATGTATTTCTCCGTATTGCTGTTGTATTGCTAACTAGTGGAACTTTATTGTAACGTGACCAATGTAGGCGGAGTGGCTTGAATGATTGTATAATGATTGGTTAATTCACATATAAACACAGATGTGTGACTGACAGAAATATTGTGTTCTGAAATATTGAAATACTAGCCCTTTTATTCGCTAGATGTCACGGCCGTATTAATCTTTGATCTGCGCCTCGGAGTCCCACCCCTTACACCCGAAACCCCGCCCCTCACTCCTGGAGCCCCGCCCATGGTGGCCCTGGCTCCACCCCCTCCTCTCCCATGGCTTTTAGGCGGAGAGAAGAAGCGGGTCACGATCTCCGAGACGTCAGGAAGATCCTGGTTCGAGTTCAGCATGTTCATCGACTGCTCCATCTCCTTCAAGCGAAAGAACATCATCAGAAACCATCAAACGTATGGAAGCGCTATATTATAATTATATTATAAAGGCTCGTTCGTTCAACAGGGGATCACATGACAGACATGAAACAGGAACATGAAAAAATCACCAAATCGTGACACAATAACTTTATTCTAGATCTGCTGTGATTCCTAAACACTCTCTGTGACTGTAATCTCCTGTTAGCACTGTAAAGCTGCTGTGAACTCTACACTATTAAAGCGCTGGATAGATGAAGGAGACGAGACTTGACTTTATAAATAAAGTTTGATTGATTACCCGCTTCATCTCTGGATCACTGGAGTTCATGACTTTGGGAAGGAGAACGACTATGAGGAGAGGAAGAACCATCATCAGAACCTGAGGGAACAAGAGCACAGCAAACGTCACACGACCGGACCGGACTGGACGGGACCGGTTCTGCAGCGACGCACCATCGGGTTCATGAGGAAATCGGACCAGATCCAGGTCTCCCGCGGGATGAAGTACGAGTGCAGGCCGAGGCTCCTCATCTGGAGAGGGTACGGGAGTCGGATCACCTCTGATGTTCTGATGTAGTCGACCACACGAGCCCTGAGAGCCAATATGACACAAAAAATCCTTTTAAAAATCTATGTGGGTCAAAAGTAAGCACAAGAATACATTCCCTGAAATGTGTAATCTAATAGATTACAATACTAACTAGAGCCCGACCGATAAAGGATTTTCCGACGATACAAATATTTTTGGGTTTTAAAGTCCAATATTCCGATATATATATATATATATATATATATATATATATTTTTATTAAATATTGTTGGATTTCACACACGTGTAAAAGAAAAGCTATCTTTTCTGCACAAGATACGTTTGATACTTTTTCTTTAGGCAGAAAAAGTTCATTGTGGTTTCCAAGCTCATTAATGTTAACGTTAGCGGTCTTATTTTATTTATTTATTTATTTGACAGGGACAATGCAAACAAACATAGTGTCAAGATCAAGCAGGTCACTGAAGTGTTGCATATAAAGTTTATAGCTATAGCTAATTTTTAACTCCTGTCCCTGGAAGGGCTTTTATACACAATAAAATTTACATGATTAGCTACTTCAATAATAATAATAATAATAATAATAAAAAATAATAATAATAATAAAAAATAATACTAATAATAAAAATACTAATAAGCATACATACATATCATATACAACTCTAATAATTAAATGTAGTTAAAAATGAGTACAGTTTTGGTTTATTTTTAACCAATTTTTCAGCCTGGAAATGAACATCTTCAACATTCAACTGATGATAGCGGCATTAGCTGCACTGTAAAAAATGATTTTTTGGTTAAGTAAATACTAGTGAAAAAACCCAATGTAATTTACTTGAAAAAGTTAGTTCAGGCAAGAATTTAAAAAACTAAGTAAATTCCATATCAGTACTTATTTCAAGCGAGTATAAATGAAAGTGTAATATCAACTCAATAAAATTAAGTAAAAATTACTCAACTTTTCTGATACTGGGGTTCCCATCATGCACTGGACCTTGAATAATTAATGAGGTTCATTTTTCACTGGTTTCCAGCTGTATTTACACTGTTTTATCATTGATTTTTGTTTTCAGTATTAGTAAATTGCCATTTTGTGACATTTCGAGTAAATTTTTGGCTTAAAACGACACATTCAAACACAAAAACGATCCATCAAATGTTACCACCATTGTGTATTGTCTACCAAGTATTGAGGTGTTTGCATTCACATAAGGCTTAAAGTCTGACATGATGTATATATAAATTACTTAGATGATCTAAGTAAAGAACATACTATAAATGACTAATAAAATTCAAGATAATTGTTTTAGTGAAGTGTAATACAAAGGCAAAGCAAATCGGTATTAATCAACCTTTTACAAGCCGAGTTAAAATTACTTATTTTTTGTAAAGTTTACTTAATTCCACATTCCCAGTAAATTTAACTTAAAGATTTCTAATTAAAGCTACTGATAAATATGTTTAGGTTTTTACTTGGCAAATCTTTGTAAATTTACTAGCATTTTCTGAGTGAGATCGTTTAGCAAGGTTTTTTCAAGTAAATCCTACTCCAAATTTTTTACAGTGTGGCTTTGTGGTTAGCTAGCCTATGATGAGCCATAATTTAGCAATAGATAACATCATACTGCCAATTGTAAAACATACATTTTCAATATAACAGGCCAAGGAAAAATGATTAAAGTGTGTTTCGTCCGTTTTTATTTTACTTTTTAAATATTCATTTATCGGCCATTATAACTGCCGATACGTTACCGATATTATGGAAAATGCCTAATATCGGCCGATATATCGGTCTGGCTCTAATACTAACTACAATTTTCCTCATGTAATTTGTTCCCTTCACATGTACATGTTTAACCGCCGTCGCATTAAAATCTCTGTAAACCGCAGATCTAACACTCATCTGTGAGTTTGAGTGTTTAGTTTAGCACAAACAGTGATGTGGCCTCATGTAAAGGGTGTTTAACATCCACACACACCTCATCTTCCCGGTCGCCGTGATGTCGACTCGCACAGGCTGGAATCTGTAGGTTGGAGAGGAGATTTCCAGAACATACGATCCCGACGGAACGTCACTGACTGAGAATCCTCCATCTTCTCTGCAGAAAAGAGCGGGACACAAACACATGTGCCGATGCTCCCATTAAACCATTAAACCGTTGTTTATGAATCTTCTTCTTTAACATCGCAATTCTGACTTTTTTTCTCAGACTTGCGGGATTTAAAGTCGAAATTCAGACTTTTTTTGCTTTTATATTTTTTCGAATCAAATAAGAACATTGTGGGAATACTGTATATGAGGAGGTTCTGGGAAAATTCTGGGAACATTAAAGAGATTGTTCTACTGGCGTTAAGAACAAATTTCTAAACAACGAACGCAGCTAGAATGTCCGTTCTGGGATCCACACACTAACATTCCCAATACATTCAATACATTTCCTTTAGCCTGAGGCTTATTCAGAATTCGTTTGAAACAGGCCTTAACATTTGTCAAAATATAACTTTTTTGTAATCAAAATACCAACAAGCCCAGCCCAGATGAGGAAAAAAAGTGACGCAAAAGTAATGTAACTTTCCCCAAGACTGGTCTCAGGTGTGTGTGTGTGTTCATGTTTACACGCACCTGATGAATCCCACATGTGTGTCTCCGTCCAGCAGAACCCGAGCATTAGCGATCCAGTCCTGCGTTCTGACTCCCGGAACCAGAGCTCGACCCGACACCTGGACCCTCACATCTCCTTCAGGAGTCCTGAACTTCAGCTGATCTTCCTCATGTGTCCTGAACTTCACATCTTCTGCTGTCTCTTCATCCTCCTGTAGTTTAATGTGTTCGTGACCGAGACTCGCGTGCAACGCGAACAGCAGGAGCGCGACGCACGCGCACGCTCGAGATCCCACGCGCGTCTCCATCGGATCGATGCGCGCGTTTTCCGCTTTTCGTCAGTAGTTTATTATTAAAGTTGTTGTTTTCCTTCGGGTACAGATAGACCTGCACGTGACGGTTTACATTTCTGTCTGCTGTCAATCAGAGTTTAACAGGCGCTCCGTGATGATGTCACGACTACAACTATTTTATTTTTATTTCAGAGATTATTTTTATTCTTCAACAGAAAATGTGTTTAGAAAGTGTTGCGTCTTATTTCATAAGCTGCAACTTGCCAAACACCGTGTGTGTGTGTGTGTGTGTGTCTGTGCGTATTTGTCAAATGAGCCCAGTGTGACATTTATGGATAGAGACTGAATCTATATTTAGCAAAGGTGTGCTCTCTCTCTCTCTCTCTCTCTCTCTCTCTCTCTCTCTCTCTCTCTCTCTCTCTCTCTCTCTCTCTCTCTCTCTCACACGCGCGCGCACACACACACACACACACACACGCACGCGCACACAGCACAAAACACAAAGTTCATTCTTGTGTGATGAATGACGATCGTCTGTAAATCTCAAAAATCACCAGAATATAAAACCGACTATCAAACTGTTTAATATGGTCACAATATTTTCCAAATAACTCATTATTCGGTTGTGATGACTCACATTAGATGCTTGTTGGTGTACAGTACTGAAATATATATATATATATATATATATATATATATATATATATGAAGAGTTCAGATGCAAAAGCCTCTAAGTGCCATTTGAAATTTTCTTCTAAAATGATAATTTTTATCAAGCTTGTATATTTAAGTTCAGTAATTTCACTTAAATGGCAAAGAAGATTACCTATTAATTGTCATTTAAGTGAAATTACTGAACTTAAATATATACAAGTTTGATAAAAATTGTCATTTTAGAAGAAAATTTCAAATGGCATTTAGAGGCTTTTGCATCTGAACTCTTCATATATATATATATATATATATATATGTATGTATATATATTTCCAAAATCAGCATAAATTAACCATGATGTATAAAATACTTCAAAAAAAAAAAAAAAAATAGGTCACATTCCAGAAATGCAATTTGAGGTGAAACACAATCCGGTCTGTTCATGAAAACAGGAACTTTTTTGTGTCAGTAGATTTATTTACTGTATTTATTAATATTTTCAATTCACTTTTATATTTATTTTCAGTTTTCAATATTAGTGTAAGATGTGCTTTTTCATTGATTTAAATATATATATAGGCCTATATTAGTTATTTCTAAATAACAGTATAGATAAAGAACCATATTTTATTTGTATACTATTTTATTTATTTATTTCAGGTTTATTTAACAGGGACAATGCACACTAATGATACATGATTAAATGTACAGTGTGCCAGAATTAGCCAGTAGGCTATTTTACATCTGCTGTCCCTGGTAGTAGTATTACAGTAGTACTACTGTAGTATTTATTAATATTTTGTATGTATTAATTAGTATGCATGTAGGATTTTTGATTTTATTTCTATATTTGATTATTTTTAATTTTGCAAATGTTAGTCGTGTTTGCTTCTGTCAGCTCCACGTGTGAGCCGGAGGTCTGGGTTCGGCTGGTGATCGGGTCAAAGGCTGAACTCAATCAGATAAAGTGAAACTCGTCCAGCGAAGCGTCCAGATAAAGCCGTCAGTGGCGTGCTGAAGTCCAGAGCTGATAGTGCGGCTCGCTTTCCCTCAGGATTCTCCGGATCTCCCAGTCGCACGGATCCAGGATGCTGTGGGTTTGCCTGGTTCTGGTTCTGCTGGATCCTTCTGAAGCGTCTCCGGCTGAAAACATGCACATGCTCGAGGCCGAAGAGCACAAACTCATCCTGAACCTCGGACACAAAGGTCAGATCCTGGTTAATACTCAAACATCTCTTTACTCCCGCATCTTCATGCAGTCACAGTGATTATATAACAAGATCCAGTAAATCAAACTCAAAAACATTTCGTATATATAGAAATACTAGTTTGTTTGAGTGAGTTTTGGGCAGTTTTCGTAACTTTACTCCACTAACACATTCTGACGTGTGAGCCATTAGAGCAAAGGTCAAAGGTCAAGTAGGACTCAGGGTGTGTTCACATAATAAAGACTAATTACATCAGGTTAGAGATAATGGCTTCTGATTAATGAAATGATGAAAGATTTTCAAGGCAAGCATGCGTTTTCTTAAACATACTTATTACAGTTTCTTTTATTTATTACAACACAGCTTTTTACTAAAAATATTTATTGGTAATAACGTTTCTTTTTTATGTCTTTTAGATGTTAAGTACTTCGATGTATTTATAAAATACAATAAATACAATAAATAAGTTAAAATTTCTAAAACATAAATAAAATATATGAAGTAATATAAAAATTAATTAAAGCTATATTTTCAGTCTACCAGTCTAGCATCCGACAAACAGCCCAAGCTAGCTCATAATTTGTGCACCACATAGACAACATATTGTGTATGTACTCAAAAAAGATATAAGTTTCTGTATATATAAAAAAGCTACAGTTTCATTTTTATAGCCCTATTTAGGTTTTGTAATATATTTTAGTACTTTTATTTTCTTATATAAGAAAAATAAAAGTATATATATAAGAAAAAAAATATATATATAAACAATATTTAAATGAATTTATATATATATATATATATATAAATTAATCAAATATTATAGAACATAATATAGCAGATTGTTTTTGGAAATAAAACTGGAAAATATATAACTATTAAATAAAAATCTTGCCTTGGCACCCAACTGAAATAAATGTTTATGAAGAGCCAGTATTTTTAAAGTAAAAAAAAATAAGAAAAATGTATATTATATATATATATATATATATATAAACTATATATAGCTATAATTTATTTCTTGTTCTCTCAGAGATTCCCCGGGACTGTCATGATCTGTGGCACAGCTCTGGCGGTCAGGTTCGGGACGGGCTGTATCTGATCCGACCCGGTGACTCGCCGATCGCGGTGTTCTGTGCCATGAGCGAGGGCGGGTGGACGGTGGTCCAGCACATCACGGTCAACAGCAGCGTGGACTTCGACAGAACCTGGGCCGAGTACAAGCGCGGCTTCGGGTCGCTCACGGGAAACCACTGGCTGGGCAACGAGCACCTGCACCGGCTCACCGGCGGACCCGTGCGCTACAAGCTCGCCGTCAAGCTAGTGGACCAGGACGCCATGACCAAGACCGGCGAGTACGACCCGGTTCTGGTGGAGGACGAGGACGCTCAGTACCGCCTGCGTTTGGGTCCGTTTCAGGGCACGGCGGCGGACGCTCTCACGCTCGACACCGAGAACTATCTTCACGATAACCAGCGCTTCACCACCCGAGACCGGGACAACGACAACTACTTCCAGAACTGCGCTAAGCTGGAGTTCCAGGGCGTCGCGGGCGGAGGGTGGTGGTACGACGCGTGCGCCGGCGCGAACCTCAACCGCAGGAACGTCATCTACTGGCAGAAGGACTGTAATAAAGAGCACTTGTGCAAATACGCCTGGATGATGGTGAGGCCTTCAGACCAGGTCAAGGTGGTTCGCTCCGGAGACTGTGCCAGAGACGAGCTCTGAGCGGCTCAACATCCTTCAAGATCAGCAGGGCACGCTTTATCTGAATGTGTCATTGCTACGATGTTATTATACATTTAAGAACTGAGGAATAATAATTGACAACATGTACTTACTACAGGGTTTGGGTAAGATTAGGATTTGGTTGAGGGTTAGTTGCATGTAATTATGCACAATTTACTGTTATTACTACGGTAAGTATGTAACATATGTAACAAGGACACTGTGAAATAAAGTGTTACTGTTGAATTTAGTGATGTTTTTAATTAAAGTCCCCCTGTGGTGTAAATCCAGCGTTTAATGTTGTTTATGTGTGTGTGTGGTGTGTTTAATCTGCTTTAACACACACTGTGTGTGCGTTGATAAGTGGACAGCATTGCTGAGTATTTCCTCCTTAAAACTGCAGTGAATCAAAGCAGTCTCAAAAACACGCGACGTCACAAACCACCTTGTAACCAATCAGATCAACGTGTGATCGTCAACCAGTGAGTCGAGGCGGGGCTCATTTGCATATTCATAGAACCGCGCATTCTAAATGAGGCGAGTGTCGGGTTACATTCAAGATATTTTAAGGCATGAAGAATATTTTAAAAGGAAATAACGTTTAAATTTGTCATTTTGCTGATCAAAGATGAGTTTTAAGGGATAGAATTATTGACTACAGGGGGACAATTTTTGTTTGCGAATTAGAAAATAAAAATAATCTGAATCAAAAGATTATTCTTTTCTGAAAAAAAAATCTTGTCATTTTGCTTCTAAAGGAGAAAACTGAGTTGGAAAACAAGATTTTTTTTTTGTGCATTGTTGAATTATTAACCCATTCAACACATGATGATCAATTATCTATTTCTTTTTTATTCAATAAACATTTAAACGTCAGATTTCTTGTACTGAAGTGCAAAAAGTTTCATAAAACAGATCACACACACACACACGATCACTGGGAATCAACAGACCGGACACATACTGCAGATTATACACTCTAAAAAATGCTGGGTTGTTTTAACCCAATTTTGGGTCAAATATGGACAAACCTGAAATGTTGGGTTAAAATGTAATGTAAAAATTTAACCCAACGGCTGGGTTAGTCCATATTTGACCCAAAGTTAGGTTAAAACAACCCAGCATTTTTTAGAGTGTAGTCTTGTTTTCCAGCATTCTTAAATCAAGATGCATTTACTGGATAAGATCGGAAGTCTTGTTTCTGAAAAATGTATTAAAATGTAGTGAATTTGTGCTTAAAACAAGAACAAATATCTGCCAATGAAGAAGAAACATCTTAATTCAAAGGGAAAACAAGATTATTTCTTGTTTTAAACACAAACTCACTTCTCTTCTGATCTTCAGTCATTTCGCTTCTCCAGTAGATCTTGATTTCAGAATCTTTAGATATTTGTGCAGGAAGACGAGACAGAAACACTGAGGCTTTGTGAACACTAATGAAGACAGAAACACTAATGAAGCCGATGAAAATAAAAGTCCTGACATGTTTGTTCACCCTCATCGAGTTGTTTACGGCACATTTAAACCAATCCTCGTTCGTTTCCTGAAACTCGGACATCTTCATCAACACGACAGCGGGAAACATCCAGATCCAGGAGAAATGAAGCTGTTTCTGTCGTTCTTATAATGGTACAGTAAGGCATTTAAAGAGGGTACAATCAACATCAAGCCAGTGAAATGTACAACATTAGCCCTTAAAACATGGATAAAATCATCACTGAGCTAAAACATGACGGTGTGTTTGTTCTGCACTCGTGAAACTGGATCTCCATCATCCCTCATATTTGATAATAGTAGGAGGTTTACTGTATTTCCATTAAGGATCACATCATCCGAAGATTACACACATCTGCTTTACAGATGAACTCAAGAGTTAGGACAGAGTTAAAAGAAAAGTTCACACTAAAATACTTGTCGAGTTGCATTTTCCCAAAACTTCAATGCCTATAATGCACTTTTGCACAGAAATGCAGACGTTCGATTCCTGGAGCTTTAATTCATCCTTTATGCTGAGAAATACAGTGAGAGATCAGGTTCAGGTAAGATCATTTACATCACATCCTTCACAGACACTATAACGACACAAAACTGGTTAAAACCTGAAAACCAGTTTTGCTAATCTTTCTGAAAGAGTCTCGTCTGCTCCCTAAAGCTGCATTTGTTTGATACAGTAAAAATACAGTAAAAGAGTGAAATATCATTAGAATGTAAAACAATGTAAAATTATTTCTGAAGGATCATGTGACACTGAAGACTGGAGTAATGATCCTGAAAATTCACATATAGATTACACTTTACTATATATTCACATTCCCGTTCGGTCAGTCACGGTCTACGACGTCACGTCTGACGAACGGGGTCTCGCCCGGGAGCCCAATCACCTTCGAGATGTAAAAAAACGAACCAATTCAAAACCATCATGTTGAACAGCACACATCTGAAGTGTCTCTGCTGAAGGAAATAATACATTATTAGCCAAATTTATAGCCAAATTTCATTAAAAAAGAACAGATATCAGCAGATACTGATATGGTCGCCAATATATCATGTTCCCTAATAATTTTTACTGTATTTTTTAACAAATAAATGCAGCCTCGGTGAGCAGAAGAGAATCCTTTCAGGAACATTATAAATCAAAACTTTTCAGTTGACAGTGAAACTGGTTTCTGTCCTGTGATAGTATTTTAAAGTCAGTTGTCTGATGAATCTGGGGCGTCTCAGGCGAGTCTGCCGAAGGTCTCAGGCGAGTCTCAGGTGAGTTTTAGGACAGTCTTCTGAAGGTCTCAGGCAACTCTCAGGCGAGTCTGCCGAAGGTCTCAGGCGAGTCTCAGGCGAGTCTGCTGAAGGTCTCAGGCGAGTCTACCGAAGGTCTCAGGCGAGTCTACCGAAGGTCTCAGGCGAGTCTCAGGTGAGTCTCAGGTGAATCTGCCTAAGGTCTCAGGTGAGTCTCAGGCGAGTCTGCCGAAGGTCTCAGGCGAGTCTCAGGCGAGTCTGCTAAAGGTCTCAGGCGAGTCTACCGAAGGTCTCAGGCGAGTCTCAGGCGAGTCTACCGAAGGTCTCAGGCGAGTCTCAGGCGAGTCTGCCGAAAGTCTCAGGCGAGTCTCAGGTGAGTCTCAGGTGAATCTGCCGAAGGTCTCAGGTGAGTCTCAGGCGAGTCTGCCGAAGGTCTCAGGCAACTCTCAGGCGAGTCTGCTGAAGGTCTCAGGCGTGTCTCAGGCGAGTCTGCTGAAGGTCTCAGGCGAGTCTCAGGCAAGTCTGCCGAAGGTCTGAGGAGAGTCTCAGGTGAGTCTTAGGACAATCTTCTGAAGGTCTCAGGTGACTCTCAGGCGAGTCTGCTGAAGGTCTCAGGCGAGTCTCAGGCGAGTCTGCCGAAGGTCTCAGGCAAGTCTCAGGTGAGTCTTAGGACAGTCTTCTGAAGGTCTCAGGCATGTCTCAGGTGAGTCTGCCGAATGTCTCAGGCGAGTCTCAGGTGAGTCTTAGGACAGTCTGCTGAAGGTCTCAGGCGAGTCTCAGGCGAGTCTGCCGAAGGTCTCAGGTGAGTCTCAGGCGAGTCTGCCGAAGGTCTCAGGTGAGTCTCAGGCGAGTCTGCTGAAGGTCTCAGGCGAGTCTCAGGCGAGTCTGCCGAAGGTCTCAGGCAAGTCTCAGGTGAGTCTTAGGACAGTCTTCTGAAGGTCTCAGGCATGTCTCAGGTGAGTCTGCCGAAGGTCTCAGGCGAGTCTCAGGTGAGTCTTAGGACAGTCTTCTGAAGGTCTCAGGCGACTCTCAGGCGAGTCTGCCGAAGGTCTCAGGCGAGTCTCAGCTGAGTCTTAGGACAGTCTTCTGAAGGTCTCAGCCGACTCTCAGGCGAGTCTGCCGAAGGTCTCAGCCGACTCTCAGGTGAGTCTCAGCCGAGTTTGCTGAAGGTCTCAGGCGAGTCTCAGGTGAGTCTTAGGACAGTCTTCTGAAGGTCTCAGGCGACTCTCAGGCGAGTCTGCCGAAGGTCTCAGGCGAGTCTCAGCTGAGTCTTAGGACAGTCTTCTGAAGGTCTCAGGCGACTCTCAGGCGAGTCTGCCGAAGGTCTCAGGCGAGTCTCAGCTGAGTCTTAGGACAGTCTTCTGAAGGTCTCAGCCGACTCTCAGGCGAGTCTGCCGAAGGTCTCAGCCGACTCTCAGGTGAGTCTCAGCCGAGTTTGCTGAAGGTCTCAGGCGTGTCTCAGGTGAGTCTCAGGCGAGTCTGCCGAAGGTCTCAGGCGTGTCTCAGTTGAGTCTCAGGCGAGTCTGCCGCCCGCCACCGGGTTCTGGCCGCACCAGTACAGCTTCTCCTCCTCACGCTTCTTCCTCCACTGGCACAGAAGCAACATGCGGAAGGTCTTCTGGAAGGTTTTGTTGCAGAGTGCGTAACACATGGGGTTGACGGTGCTGTTGACGTAACACAGCCAGTATCCCAGATGCCAGAGCGAGAGCGGGATGCAGTCGGAGCAGAAGGTGGACACCAGAACCATGATGTTATACGGCGTCCAGGTAAGGATGAAGGCCAGCAAGATGGCGCTCAGAGTCTGTGCCGCCTTCTTCTCTTTGATCAGCACCATCCTCTTCCTCTTGGTGATCTGGCTTTTAAGTGTGGCGTCGATGGGTTTGGAGGAAGACGAGGAGGAAGGTGCGTTCACGGATTCGGCGGATGAGAAAGACGAGGGTTTCGCGTCTCCGTTGGTGTTCTTTAGTGGAACGGTCGGTTTGAACTTGTAGGAGACGCACTTCTTGCTCCGCGAACCCTAGTGAAAAAAAGTATACTTTATTGTATTTGAAATATATTCCTTTTTTTCAATAGAACATTGCAAATATACTTACAAAAATGTGAACTATTTTTAAATATATTAATAGTATATTAGCGTCATGCTTTTACCTACTATTTTCACAATGCAACATTTAAAGTGAAAAGCCTATTTATTTTTTAAAAGTGTATTTATTTGCACTTTATTAAAATATATTTTAGGTATATTTCAACTGTGTGCTGAAAATGTTATAGTATACAATAGTACAGTCTACAAAGTATAGCTAACAATTATTTGTTTATTAAGGTGCATTTTTTATTGAAGACAAATTTTGTAGTATTTGGAATTGGCCAAAGTTATTACTGAGCATATACTGTACTTTTTACTCAAATATAATACACTTATCGTATATTGCTTGTATGTTTCAAAGACACTCGCAATGAATTTGTAATGTACTTGTAACTTTAATAAAGTACACTTTAATATCAATAATCAAGCATGTAATTAGTCCCAACACAGGCATGTAC